ATATATATTTTTTTTTTTTTTTTCATACTTCTTTAATGCTTGCTTCTTCCATTTTGGGTCTACAGGCACAATATTTTTGTTAAAAAATAAAAATAAAATAAAATTATTTGCCCTTTTGGACACAAATCTATAAGTTAAAAAATAATTACAATAAGAAATGAATATTGCCCACCACTGTGCGTGTCAAATTTTAAACAAATCTTTTTCAAGGTGTTAGAGCCACAGCTGTGACATTGCCATGACCTTTAGCTACTACAATGCTAAAGTTCAGCTCAAGATCTGTAAACGGGACAGAGTTGGAACCATTTCTGTGTCGACAAGATGTAGATTAGCTGATGGTGTTAAATGCAAAAAACTATCCATCCGTTATTTTTACCCGCTTCTTCCTTTTCGGGTCACAGGGGTCACTGGTGCCCATGTCCAGCTATCACTGTGTGAGAGGCGGGGACACTCTGGACAGGGACACATGGAGACAAATGAGACAAACAACCATTCACTATCTCACAGGGACATTTTAGAGTTACCAATCAGCATAACATGCATGTTTTTGGTCTCCGGGAGGAAACCAGAGTACCTGGAGAAAACCCACGCACATGCAAACTCCACCCAGAAAAGTCCCCAGCTGGGATTTGAACCAGCAACCTTCTCGCTTAGCGGAAACAGCTCTACCAACTGAGCCACTGTGCTGCCTAGTGCAAAAATTAATCAGTTGTAAATGTACATCCAGTGATTTATTTTCTGAGAGTTTCATTAAAAACTGAGCATGATTTGAGCATGCATCAGGATATTAAAACATCTAGTAATTATTATTATTATTATTTTTTTTTACTAACAGACAACCAATCTAACAAACTTGAAGATTTAGAGCAGCAAATAGGCTCCAAACTCAAGAAATGAACTGATTTGTCTACACTACCACCAAAGGAGGCAGCGAAGTGTGGAGCCCACGACATGCCATGAGTCAAAAATAAAAACAGAGGTCATAAATATCCTTCGATTAAAAACGTTTGTTGCACACTTTGCTCAGTTTAATAAATTTGGGTGGATGGATTTAACAGTACCGTCAGTTGAGCTTTGCTTTCTGTGAGGACCGGGAAGCATCAAGAGTGAAAATAAGTTCAAGGATCTTTGATAAATTGAAGCATTGAGTTAAAATATTAAATAAAATCAGCAGGTGTTTTTTTTTATGTCATCATCTAAATCACATCAGACATTTATCAGCCTGTCTCCTGTTAATTTAAACCAGTTCAATTAGAAACATGCAAGTTTCTATATTACTGACTGACAACGTTTTAGTTGGCTCAGTTTACTTTTTGATTTGTGTGTTGTCTAATTATGATTTACCGTGACCCATGACACCTGGCAGGCTCTGTAGAAACAGTCAGCCCAGACAGGACGTGGAAAACTTTAGAAACATCAGTGGGAATCAGAATTGGACATGATAAAAATTAGGAAAAATTAGGGATGCACGATATTATCGGCATGGTATCGGTATCGGCCGATATTAGCGTTAAAGTTCAATATCGGACATCCCATTAAAATAACTCACTGATATAAAAGGCGCTGTTTTTTTATGACAACCCAGTGACAAGGATGCCTGCAGCGCCAGCACAACGTGATGACGTCACGCGCGCCTACCTGGTCTAATGGTGGAGAGGATAATTCAAAATGTCGGCGGTGTGGAATTTATTTATTTTTTGTTGTTGAGGATGACGGATTCTGAAAATTTTTGGACTACGTTGAGCCTCACTACATCATCCCCAGTCTGAGATATTTTTCTGACGTAACCTTACCTGAGTTACAAGCCGTCATTTCCCACGTCATTGAGAAGCTAATAGCCGATAGCACTTGGGTGAGTTTTACCACAGACGTTTGGAAGTCAAGTGTTAGCCCCGTTAGCATGATTAGTCTTATGGCACATTGGATAGACACAAACTTTGATCTTAAAAAGGCTGTCCTTCATGCACAGGAGTGCAGAGGATCCCAATGCAGCTATGAACCTGGAACAAGCCTCCACAAGTGAGACAGCACAGGTGACTAATGCTAATAAATACCATTTAACACTTTTCATTTAATATAAGTTAAAGTGCTATGCATATGGCTGTTACTGAATATATGTCACCAGCTGTTACACAATTGTTGTAGTAAATAAGCCTAAATAAGAGGGCTATGTTCTGACAAAGGAAAGTACATAAAATATCGGTATCGGCCAAATAAGTTTTAACATATCCGCTAAAAATCCAATATTGTGCATCCCTAGGAAAAATACATGCTAGAGCTGAAGCAGGTGTTTCACTTAGATATAACGTGAACCAACGTGACCACTAAAATGAAGAATGACAAAAGGATGTGGCACTTCACAAGCAAGACAAACAGGAACTGATTCAGCTAAATGCTCCGCTCTACAACTGAAGAGAAAATAAAATCTATATTTACACCCACAATGCACTGGTTCTTACTAAGACGATGACTCAGTCTTATGTAGACAGTTAAAAAAATGGATGAATATATGAACATTTCTAAATTATGTTAAAATCATATGTGACTTTTTCTGACTTAGTACAGTCCACTTTAGTAAAAATAAACAAAAAACAGAAATGTTTGTAATGTTGTGCGCTCTATATTAATAAAACAGAATATATAGACACACTAACGGGATAAACACCTGGGGAAGGACAACAAGTTGGAGGCTGGAGCTGATCACATGAGGAGAAACACTGAAGTCAGGACAGATGGCACAAGGATCACACAGTTCTTCTCAAATATAAACATGTAATCTTAAATTATTTGTGTTTTTATGTATTTCTGTGCTACTGATAAACAAAACCATGCTTTTCTAACTTTTTGTACCTGTGAGAAAGTCGTGTAGTGTAGGTTCTGCCACCATTAAGAAATGTATTCAGGCACAACTCACACAGACACACACCGTCATGACGTCCTGTAATCCTTCGCTTTCTCAAAAGCTTTTAAGATCCTCCTGTCGTGCTGTGAAACAGGAACATGGAGTGAAGCAGGTCAGAACACAGGAGGCCTGTTTTCCTTGAATCTTATTAAATTTGTGTTCCAAGAAGCAAAGTGATCCTACCTGTCTAACTGAAGCTTTCTTTGAATCTTTATATGATTTTCCTTTTTTAATTTATTGTTTGTTCTATTATTATTTGATTGCAATCATGCTCGTTATTCAGTTTTACAAGATGTGCATTTTCTTTTGCTCTCAGGGCTTCTTCGTGTCTATTATATATTGCTACTGCAATGGAGAGGTGAGTAGGCTTTTTATTGCCCAAGTATAATTCATAAGAGAAAAACAGCTGACAGCAGTCTTGCTAAAATAATCACTAATATGGCCTAATTCCTCCAGAGAGAAGCAAAACACACAAAACAAGTTTCTGAGGAATTCATCTTTACAAAGATTTTTTTTCCTTTTCATGTTTTCTTTTTAGGAATGCTTATGATCTCATCTGTTTTTCACAACAACATGGGCAGTTTACAGAAAAAAACCCTAACATAATTATGTAAAAAATGTAATTTCAGGCACATCATTTAACATACATTTTTATATTTTTGTGTAGAATCACAATAAAAACAAAACAAAACCCATTAGAAAAATTGGAGTTATCAAAATTAACAATACAGTAGTCCCTCATTTATCGCAGGGGTTTTCGTTCTCAGTTCCCCGATGATAAGTGAAAAACTGCTAAGTAGAAATAGTAGTACAAGTAGTAAGAAGTACTTTATTTTAATATATATATATATATATATATATATATATATATATATATATATATA